TATATTGTGAAACTGAATCTTAACGCATCATCGGAACTATGTTCAAAACAAGCATTCATTGATAGTAATTCATTTATAGAATAAGGGAAAAAAACTCCGCTTTTCACGAAAAATTCAGAATTAAACAGCGTTGCTGATATTTCTGTTGACTTAAATTTTTCTGAGTACTGAACTAAAAAAATGAGTTTATTTTGAAACAGCATTTTGTTTTCTTTGTACAGGATTTAATTTTCAAGGATGATGCATTTTTCAAAAGAGGCTGGGAATTTGATTATATTACTTAAAATGGCAAAAAATATACATTAATTTATTTTGAAAGCTCTCGTTTTTGAATTGCAAGCATAAAACGAAAGGCATACGTTATAAAAATGCTTAACTGATTTATTATGATATAAATCATTATAACTTAATTAAATTTCAATTACCGTTCCTTCTATATTCTTTTTAGTCATTATTACAAACGCTAAGCGAGCTGGTACCAATTCAGGAATTTTCGTATCCAAAACTAAAATAAACAAATACATAAGTAAACACGCAAATAAAAAGAACAAATAAAAATTTTCTACAAGTTTCGCTTGGTCACTGTAACTAGATACGAACCAAATTTTTCTATTAGTTACTTTTCAAATTGTGTTCGGTAACTAGACATGAAACAAAGAAATTAATTGGAACGAAACAAATATATTAAAAAAATCCATTTATAAATGCATATTTACAAACAGTAACTCACAACATGCTTCAAATGGGCAGGAAAAAAATCGAATATGAGAAAAGATGGGTTGAAAATCTCACTCCAGCCATCCGAAATGCAAATAGATAATCATATTTATGACGTAATGGAATTCTCACTAATCTCTTCTATGCTAATTAAACTTTATGTTGACTTCAGAAGGTTGTATTTTCTGTTTCTAGCGGAAAGCGCAATTCAGAGGAATAAAGGGAATTCAGCTATCAGAATTCGACCAATGCCACTTACCAACATTTGAAGGAATAAAGTCTGTACCGATCATAAACATATAAGCAGATAATAATCTCATAAAAACATATACATATAACATATAATACTCTTAATAACTTAACTGTAATATACAACATATAAAAAAGCATTATTTTTGGATTTTATCTTTATTATATTTCCTTCAGATTTATAAAATTTCTAAAGTAATTTTTCATAATCTTAAAAGATGCTTTTAGAAGTGAAATTTACTTTATAAAGATAATTTATTTTTACAGACAAAATTATACTTTTGACTGATCGATTTTATCCCACAGTATGTTAAATAGTACCATGGCCACCTTAATAATTTCACTGACTTCAATTACAATTAAGAAGCATTTTGAAATTTAAAAGAATTATACAAATGAATTTTACAAAATGAATAAAAATGCACCAAGCTTTAAAAATTATAATGACACATGAAGCTTAGAGCTAATGAAAAAAATTTCCATTTTTTTCCTTAAATAATATGCTATCTGAAAAATATTAATAAACAGTAATCAAAAATCAAAAGTAACAGTTCTTAAATCTGTAAAAAATAAAAATTATCCATATCAACTTACATTTTTTGTATTCTTCCAAGTTAAAGCTATTTTTGTGCTGTGGAAACACTAAAGAATTGAAAAGTTTGTTCTCTTTCAAATTCTAAATAAAAAAAATATTTTGAACAAATATTCTTTAAATATTTTAAAATTAAGAAAGATAAAATACCATGAACCTTTCAATAATAAAAATATATTTAAAAACAGAAATGCCTAAGGAAAAACATAAAAAATAAGTTATATCTGATCTTACAGTTCTTTGTAAGATCAGCTTGTAAGTATGATTTTTAAATCACTCTTAAAGATTACATATATTAAAAATATTCTATGCACAAAATTATTTATTGCATAATATGCACACAACAAACTCAAACAATGGATGGAATCTAAATGTACATTCTTGTAGTTTTACTTAATATAAGATTAATATCCATTTTTATATCATGACGAAAAAATAAAAATTTAAATAATCAATTAGTTAGTACTGGGCCAAATTAAACGTAAAACTAAGTTACATACCAATGCAATTTATAAATCTGAATTAATCTTTTTTTCTCTTATTTAGGTGACTTTACGTTATTAGAATAAGCAAAAAACGTTTTTGGAAGTTCTTCCCATCAATGTAGAAACTACCCGTGTTCAGTACCATATGGTATAATGCTGTTGCTTGAGGTCAACTCATGAAGGTCAAAATTTACCACAATCAAGAAATTTTCTCCAGTACTTATAAATTAAAGACACCACAGAACCCTATTTCCCCAGTATTAAAATTGTACTGCATTGTTGCAGTTTTAATAGGTTACAAATATACTAATGCTTTGTTGTATCTGTATTAGTGTATTTGGAACACTTAAAACTGCACCAATTACCACCATCAGTAACGCCTACTATCAAAATTAATTTGCATCATTGGTACCAATAATATCAGGATGATTTTTTACATTTCTCATAAACGAATTAATAACATATCTCCATTAATCATGCTTTTTTTATGCATAACTGATTTTTTTATTTCAATTAGATTCTATTGCGAAAATTAATTAAGTATTATTGGTGTCAATCATAGTACGTCGATTTTTCATGTTTCTCTTAAACGAATTAGTACCATTTCTCCATTAAATATGCTTTTAATTACATAGTTTTTATTTATCGAACGATCAAATGGAAGTTTTAGAACAATTTTTAAGAATTGAGCTAAAATGTATCCCTTCAGCCGGCATCCAAATTGCAAGAAGATAACACAAACAGTTCTGAAGTTATAAGAGCGAGAGAGACATACAGATTACATTATCTATCTACCGGTATAGTATTACGGGCTGGGATACACATGGTCCGACAGTGTGTGTATATATATATGTATATATATATATATACAGTCTGTGCATATATATAGACATATTATATATATACACACTGTTGGACCACGTTTAGCCCGTAATACTGCTCGAATTCTTCTTGGCATAAATTTAATAAGATCTTGGTAGGTTGTTAGAGGAATTTAACCCTATATCCGATGAACTACACTTTTCAGTTCCGTCAGATTAGATGGTACTGGATCCAGCTGTCTGATGCCCCGTTCGATCTCAAACCACAAATTCTCTAATTAGATTGAGATCTGGAGATTGTGCTGGCTAACGAAGCAAGGTAAAGTCACCGTCATGTTTTTCCACCCATCTGACGACGATACGAGCGGTATGACAAGGACTAATGTCTTGCTGAAAGTACATATAGCTGGCAGCGTACACCATTAACATAACAGGATGTACTTGATCTGCGATAACACTTAAATACCCTTGGGCATTCTGACGTAGTTCCACAGGTATCAAATAACCCATGCAATGCCAATAAAACATCCCCAAAACCATAACATTGTCTCCACCAGCTTGATGTGCTGTGGCAATGCAGTTGGGGTCCATGCTTTCGTGCTGTTTTCGTCATATCCGAACCCTGCCAACTGCATGGTGTAATTTAAAACACGATTCATCAGATCCCATGATCCCTTTCCAATTATCTACTGTTCAATCCTTATGCTTCTTTGCAAACTGGAGATGTCTGCTCTTGTGCAAAGCTGGCAGCAGAGGCTTTTGAAGAGGTCGTCGCCTCCCTTTGCCTATATAGTGTAATGTGCGACGCACAGTTCATTCAGAGACGTTTGCAGTTGCACATTCATTAAGATTCCCCGCTATTTGACGTACTGTTGCTCTTCTGTTGAACTGGAAAACTTTGGAAAGTCTCTTTTCAGCTCAAGCATTCAGTAGCCTGTGACAACCTCAAGTCTGACGTTGAGATCCGGTTTTCTGCTTGGTAGTTCACTTTCTGTACACATTAATAACTACTGTTACAATTGATGGCTCACTATTCCCTTCTTTGTAGCTATATCACCCGTTACCTGCAACAATGTAACGCGATAGCTCACTGTGCTTAAAACTGTCAGGTGGTCACAATAATTTGGCCATTTAGTGTATATATATATATATANAGTACCATTTCTCCATTAAATATGCTTTTTTTTATGCATAACTGATTTTTTTATTTCAATTAGATCCTATTACAAAAATTAATTAAGTATTATTGGCGTCAATAATAGTACGTCGTTTTTTCATGTTTCTCTTAAACGAATTAGTACCATTTCTCCATTAAATATGCTTTTTTTTATGCATAACTGATTTTTTTATTTCAATTAGATCCTATTACAAAAATTAATTAAGTATTATTGGCGTCAATAATAGTACGTCGTTTTTTCATGTTTCTCTTAAACGAATTAGTACCATTTCTCCATTAAATATGCTTTTTTTTATGCATAACTGATTTTTTTATTTCAATTAGATCCTATTACAAAAATTAATTAAGTATTATTGGCGTCAATAATAGTACGTCGTTTTTTCATGTTTCTCTTAAACGAATTAGTACCATTTCTCCATTAAATATTTTTTTAATTACATAGTTTTTATTTATCAAACGATCAAATGGAAGTTTTGGAACAATTTTTAAGAATTGAGCTAAAATGTATCCCTTCAGCCGTCATCCAAATTGCAAGATGATAACACAAACAGTTCTGAAGTTATAAGAGAGAGAGAGAGAGAGAGACATACAGATTACATCAGTGTTTCCCAACGTGGGGCCCACGCCCCACTGGGGGGCAATTTGATTGTTAAGGGGGGTAATTCGAAAATGGACTCGACAAGAGTTTTACCCATTTGCTCCGGGACATTTAAATACAATGCTAGATCTCGGTGCCAAAATTGAAAGAAAAAAAGAAAATTCTTAAATAATTGCGGTCAATAAATATTATAAATTCGTTTGATGAGACCAAAATATCAACTGGGTATTTTGGCGTCGTCAAGCTAACTAACCTCCCTGCGGCATATGGCAGGCTTCGCGTAGACCCCTTGACGGTTTAAAATTTCGCTAAACTATGCAGTTGTTCGCATCTGAATCGCCCGTCGCAACTTCTGTAGTGTTTCGCAACATTCAGTGATAGAAATCAATACCATAGTATGTCTTTTATGCCTGCAATGCAACAGTAAAGTCTTTATTTACTGCTCACACTTCAACTCATCATATGAAATTTCTTTATTCATCGCTAAATTTGGAAGAAATCATACTATAGGAGAGAATTAAATAAAACCGTCAATATCAGCATTTCTTAAAACGGTTCTTGAAAAAGATGTAAAGGCTATACCACTCAATAACAATACTGTTAGCAGAAGAATAGATGAAATGAGTGAAGATATTAAAAAACGACTTGCTGACAAGCTAAAAACAAGAAAATTCTCAGTGCAAATGGATGAATCAACTTTGATAGACAGCGTGGCAGTATTGATAACTTGCGTAAAATATATTGATAAAGGGCATTTTGTTGAAGAAATGTTGTTCTGTGAAAGATTAAAAAGCACCACTACCTCCAAAGATATTATATAATAAGCTTAAAAAAACTCCTTAGATGTCAATAATATACCAATAAAAAATATAACATCTTGTGCTGCAGATGGTGCTCCTAATAGGATGGGCAAGAAAAATTGCTACTTAAAATTGATGAAAGATGAGAATCCAAAAATAATTCTTGTGCATTGTGTTATTGCATAGGGAAAAGTTGTGCATAGGGAAAACTTGATAGCTAAAAACATCTCGCCTGTTCTAAATGAAGTACTCACATTCACTAATAAAGTGTATTAATGCTATTAAAGCTTATGCCAAATGTGAGCGCCTCTTCAAGCTGTTTTGTGAAGAACAAAATGCAAGTAAGATGGCTCTCTAAAGGGAACTGCTTGAAAAGATTCATGGAACTGTTTGATACTCTTATTGATTTTTTAAGCGACGAACCTGATATGAAGTATCTGTTAACAGTCGAAGGTAAAGCATTTGTGAGTTATTTAGCCGATATCTCTGAAAAACTAAATATATTAAATAAGCAACTTCAAGGAACAAAAAAAACTCTTGTTGATACAAAAACGAAGATATTTGGTTTCATTGCGCTTATTGAGTTAAGTCTGAAAACAAAAACTTGGATCAGTTTAATTGTCCCCAAAAATTAAAAGTAAATGATGCCGCTTTACTTCTTATTGTCGATCATCTGAAAATTCTATCGGCTGATTTAAAAGAAAGATTTTCTGATTTAAAACAAATAGATTTTTCAACACGGATGATGCAGCGAATGTTAGTGCATTTGTCTGTTATATGAAATATGCAGTATCAAGAAGAACTCTCAGAAATGCAAAATGATAAGTCAGTTAAAACTTTATTTTTATATAAAAGGAGTGATGGCATGGCTTTGTGAGGAAACGGAAATCAAATACCCAATTTCAACCAAATATGCAAGAAAACCATTGTTACCGTTTCCATCTTCATATTTAGCTGAATGTGGATTTAGTGATGTAAAGGATTTACTGGTAAAAAAAAGGGAAATCGCCCGGATATAACACAGTGGGTAGACTTGAGGCTGCAAGCTAACCAAATTGGAAACTAACATAAAATCTCTGTGCAGCAAGCGCAAGGATCTCTCTAAATTAAAATATTAAATTATTATAGAAAAATCTTTATGAAAATTATTTCGAATTTGAGTTTTAGTTTTTCATTATAAGTTTCATTATAAGTCGAAATTTTACTTACTGTGTTTCGTCATCAATTTCCTAGAGATTTCATACTGAAACCTATCATTTAAGTTTCTTATGAGAACAATTCAATTTTTTAATATTAAAAATTATGTGTATGTCACATAGGGGGGGATAAGAATTTTAGACAGGCTTGAGTGGGGAAAAAAGGTTGGGAAACACTGGATTACATCATCTATCTACCGGTATAGTATTACGGGCTACACATGATCCGACAGTGTGTATATATATACACTGTTGGACCTCGTTTAGCCAGTAATACTGCTCGAATCTTCTTGGCATAAATTTAATGAGATCTTGGAAGGTTGTTGGAGGAATTTAACCCGATATCTGATGAACTGCACTTTTAAGTTCCGTCAGATTAGATGGCACTGGATCCAGCTGTCTGATTCCCCGTTCGATTTCAACCAGCAAATTCTCTAATTGGATTGATATCTGGTGATTGTGCTGGCTAACGAAGCAAGGTAAAGTCACCGTCATATTCCTCCACCCATCTGACGACGATACGAGCTGTATCGACCATTGTCTTGCAAGGACCATTGTCTTGCTGAAAGTATCTATAGCAGGCAGCGTACACCATTGACATAACAGCGTACATATACCCTTGGGCATTCAGACGTTGTTCCACAGGTATCAAATAACCCATGCAATGCCAATAGAACATTCCCCAAACCATAACATTGCCTCCACCAGCTTGATGCGTTGTGGCAATGTAGTTGGGATCCATGCTTTCGTGCTGTTTTTGTCATATCCGAACCCTGATAACTGCATGGTGTAATTGGAAACGCGATTCAACCAGTTTTGCTGTTACTGGTTCCGACGCTTCGAGAGCCTACAAACTCAGTTAAGTCACGTCTTTTGCCCATATCTCCGCGCGTAACATAATGGAATTGATGATTCACTATTTCCTTTTTGTAGCTATATCGCCCGTTAGCGGCAATACTGTGACGCGATAGCTCATTGCGCATAAAACTGTCAGGTGGTCGTAATAATTTGGCCACTCAGTGTGTGTAGATATATATATATATACATTTCTCTATCTATTGGCAACACTATAGTTAGTATTCATTTGGTCAAGGTTAAGTAATCGAATTATTTATATTTATTTTTTATTCTTTTTAAACTTCTTATAGAACTTTTAAACGTAAACGGTGCTATAGTGTCGGAGGTAAATACGGTACGTTCTGAAAAAATAATATTATTATTATATTACAATTAATATTATAATATTAATTACCATTTAATGTTAATATGGAATTACAATATAAATATTATTATTAAATTATAATATTAATTACATTTTAAAGTTACGTCAGAATTACAAAAATGTTCAGTAGATAAACTGTATGTTTGTCCTGGTACTTACTTTATTTCTATAAACAGGTGGTATACAGAGACCTTGACTATTATAATGCAGCGCACACAAAGTTTGAATAATTTTAGATCTACAAATCTCGGACTGTGATCTGTAACAAAAACAATTTGGAGATCTCGCCAAGATGATGGAAGTTAGTTATAAAAAAGCAAACTTACTTTCCTAATGCAGGCCAAAGTTCCAAAGATATGACATTGAAAGGTGGAAGGTATTCTATACAGTTACCAAAGTACCTAAAATATATTGTATTTTTCTTTGGTTTTCAGTTGCAATTTGTTGAAGCCAAGCTTCATGTAATTTTCAAAAGTTTAAAACTTATTCTATATTCCTTAAAAAACAATTGTATACATAAAAATCATGAATAAAAATTATAAATATCAAAATTATGAAAGTTAAAATTATAAGTAATAAAATTATAAATATTAAATTATAAATATTGAATTTATAAATATTAAAACTATAAAAATTAAAAACAACTGTACTTTTGAACATTTAGCAAAATGGCACTGTAGTAAAATATAACCCACTTGTTAAAAAAAGTTTTATATTATTAAAGCAAATAAAAGCAATATTGGTAAAAATAATAAAAGCTGTATGGTTCGTAATTATAACTGATTATTTAAATGAATTTTAATTGTATACGTTCTATATTTTTAGTAGCAAAAATATTTATCTAAAATTTTTAGTTAATAAAAGTTTTAAAAAATAGGAATACTGATTTCATTACGGAAATATTTTTAATGGTATTCACTTTGGAAAAAAAAAGAATTTTGCATTCTGCAAATTCATTATTTGCACAAAATTATAATTTTTTTTGTTGTAAATTTATCATTTAAAAACTATTTTTTTTGATTCTCAAATTTTGTTTTTTGTCTTTTAAAATTAGGTAGCTAAAAATGATTTAAAAGAGTAAATTATTTTTTCCGTGAAACCATCTTTCGATAAACAAGTTTCATAAATAGGTGCCGAAATTTCTCTAATGGCTCGATTTGTTTAAGATATGTGAGCAAATATGGAAAATTGAAATATAAGGAACCCAAAATTTCAACCGCTCTTCTAACGACTTAACTAATGCGACCACATTTTCAGATTGCTACTACACCCCCTCCCCTCATATTTTTTTTCTAATGCCCGCCTGTGTTAACATCCGTCAATTCAAGCATCTACAGGGCAATTTTGTTGACCTCTCTTACAGGGGCACCATAGTATTAGGTGGGCCAACGCCGCTCCCACAGTAAGGACAGATAGTACAGAGAAGGAAAGAACATACATGCCTTGCCCGAGATTCGAACCCAGATCCTTTCTGATGCAAGGATAGTTCCCTATCCCTTACACAGACCGGTCGGCTCCCCTCATATTTTGATAGTCGAAAATTCAAATCAGTCGAAAAAAGTCAGACTTATTCAAAAGTTCATCTTTTGTCTGATTCTGTATATTAATTAGAAGTTAGCACTAATTAATTACCATATTTAAAGTCATCCCCATGAACTACTAAGATTGGCTTTAGGCACGTGAAAATCTAATTATTAGCCCAAAAGTTATTCAAAATTGATATCCACTCATTGTACATAATTATTTTTATTTAAATAAATCATACAACTTAAAAAAAAAAAAAAAACATTTCGTGTGATATTACTGTGACTTACAAACTTATTGTTCTAAGTTGGTGTAAGCCAGTGTTTCCCAAACTTATGCCTTTTGTGTACCCTTTCTAAATTTTTCGCAACGCGGTGTACCAGTAGTAAAAAAATGAATAGATTTTTTACTATAAAAAATTGCTCAAAAGTTAAAAATCACAACTGGCTGTTGATGCCACTCATTATTAACTGTTAACTCTGCAAAAAATAGCCAATAGAAAAATACATAATCGTAAATTTTCATGGCTAGTATTGTTTTTAAATAAAATTTTGTGAAATTTTTGTTTGTTGCAAGATATTTCGTATAAGAACGCGTACCCCCGCTAAACTGTTCCCGTACCCTTAGGGGTACGCGTACCACACTTTGGGAAACACTGGTGTAAGCCATTTTCCACGATTTAAAGCACAGTACCATGAATGCGAATATAATTTGGTCTATCCTAATTTTTAATGACCGACTTTCTCATTATAGAGCGTATGCAAAACATACCCTTCCTTTTTAGCAACTCCTAGTGGTGGACACTTCCCATTGAAGACGGTATCTTCAGATGATTCTACGTAAGTCAGATTGGATATAGAAAAACCCATTTCAGGCATTCTACCATTAGGTGTATATTCAATATAAAGGACGAAATCTTTGTGTTTTTGGAATTTCTTTGGTGCATCAAATAAATCATCCCTGTAACAGCCAATACTGAGAACAAAATACTCAGGTAGCAGAGGTAATGGTTCACCCTGACAAAGATCCCTGCTGTAGGTAAATATACACGCCTGGTAGCCAAGACAGTGATATGCAGTTGGACAAAGAGCTCTCCTATAGTCATCTAAGAAGTAAGGCAACCTTTAAACAAAACAGAATAACTAAAAAATCTTTAAATACAAATTCAACAGGAATTCTTAAAATTCTGGATGTCTGAAAAAAATTTGTAATGGAGGTAGGGCACATCTTAAGAATTCAGAATCACCAAGTTAATGAGACTTCTCAAAAAAAGATCTTATTACCGTCTTATTTAAGATATGCTTCCACTAAGCACATTTTCGGTCATGATTAAGTATACAACAATATAGTAAGTTAAGTCAAATTTTGGGGAGTCAAACGGATACTAAAGGGCAATCTTTTAATGCTTTGGGAGAAGAAGATTCAATGTAATTTTTGGTAATAACGACGAGTAGCCTTAAAAGATTTTAATTTTGATAGCAAGTTAAAACACAAAAAGTGCAAAAGCTATGACGCGACAAATTTAAATGAGTGCTAGGGATTAGTAGGTTTTGTTATTTGGAAATTGTTGGACAAGAAAAATTAACGACAAGAAATAGTCTTTATTTAAAAGATTAATAAAAAATTAATTTAATTTACTACAATCCAATAAAAAGACACTTAGATAGAACTGTGTCATTCTCTCAGTCCTTAATGAACTATTTATTTATGACTCCTTTGAACTAAATTTATCAATTTATAATTTTATTGAACTAAACACACTAAAACATTTTAAAACTTTGAATAGGCTCATCGAATTAGCAAAGAAACAGCCGGAAATCTTAGAGCGACTGTGAAATATCATACAATCCAACGCAAATTGGATACCTGTTTGTATTTTTTTTTTTATGTCACGTATTCTAACCTTATCCAAGCGGGCCTCTCTTGTTACAATTAAATAATTAGCAGTGCTCAACATATGGAACATAATAATTTATTTCTAATTCCATTGTACTATCACTATATAAAGGGTGTTCCGAAAAAAACCTCGGACAGGTGTGATTAAGGGAGGAAATAGAGAGACCAATGACGCTTGTTTTGCTGCTTATTACATCTGACTTTCTCTACTGTGATTGTTTCAATATTGATTGCGTTTTTGTTTTTCTCGGTTAAATATTATTTTGTAACTTCAATATGTATACTTTTTTGTTTTCATTTATAAGGATTCGAAAAATACATATTAAGGACAGTCTTTGCGGAACACCCTGCACGTACACTTTTAAAATATATTGGGTTAAGTGGAGTTTGCAACGGTACTGCAGATTTTACACTTCAAAATTTATCTTATGTCAAGATTTTTTTTGTTATTGTTCGATTCTTGTTATTAGTATGAAATTAAAGAAAGAAAGAAACATGTAGGTTCTTGTTTGGATATACAGTTAAATATTTTTTTTTTTTGTATTAAGTTCGATACCGTCAAAGTATAATTCAACTTTAAGTAAATGAATTAGATTAAGTAGCTCCTTATTGCCTGGATAAACTACATAGCGAATGATATTCGCCCACTAATGTTCAAACTAATGCATTTAATGAGATAAACCATGTGCACAGAAGCTGATAAAGACAAGAGAAACTTTGGAGAAAGGTAGAATTAAACAGCTAGAAGCGTTAGAACAGCATCGTGACCCTGTTAGTGACTTACATAACATTTACAGATGTTTTTTACACGCAAATTTTCGAGAACTTATTAATAGCGTAACATATTTGTGTAAAAAAATGTTACTTATTGAAAACTAACTAACGGCTAACAAATAAAATTTTTTTCATTTCAGGAGGATACATAATTACTGTTTTTATTATAAATATTTAAGAACACGGCTATTTTTTTAATTGTTTATCTTTTAATGAATAAACCTATCGAAAATCTGTAACGTTGATAACTGTTGTATCAGTCACTATGGAAAGACTTAATAGTAAAAAGTAAAAAAAAAATACTTGTATTTTTTAATAAATAATTTTACCATTTAGTTCTAAGTTATGAAGTGATATTGTTTGTTCTTTCATAATGTTTCTAGGAATTAAGTGGGAGAAAGTTTCGTTAATAACCAATTCTTGTCTCATCTGCAAAAAAAAAATAGACAATCATTAGCATTGAGTAGACATTCAATTGAAATTATGAACAAGATTTTTCGATGTTTTTTTTTTTCATTCCTTTTCAACTGACACCGATAAACAAGCTATAGATATCTGGCAGGTTGTTTAACTTTTCTAATCTAGTTTGTTATGCTGATTTCAAATCTAAAAACCGTAATTAACCATTTGTAATTTTGAGTTTGTAGATTTATTTATTGAAAGTTTGAGTTTTAGAAAATGTTCTGATGCGGAATATTAACATTTAAACGAAAATAATTGAAGACCACAGGCGAATAATAGTTTATCCCCATGAAGGCTGATTCGGAGAAAAAAACACACATAGTAAGACCCATCTTCGGTTTGTAATAACTCTCGGATAGAACCGGTAGATTTCTCAAAACTTAGTAATCTACAAAATGTAATAAAGTGTGATCCAATCGGCATTTTTGTGAAAAAGGACATAAATCGTTCATCCTCAATAGTCTTCTATTATCTATATATATATTTCTTTTAAGTGACTCAAAAACTTGATTATTTCTCTATCTATTGACAATACTATAGTTATTATTCATTTTGTTAGTTTTTCTTAAGTGATAATTTAAGTATTGAGTTAGTTATACGTTAAGTATTTATTTAGATTCATTTTGTTAGGTTGTCAAGTAATAATTTAAGTAGTGTTAAATAATTAGTTTTACGTTTAGTATTCATTTAGAATAATTTTGTACCATAAACTTAGCTACGAAGTCATTATTTATGTTTACTTTTGGTCCTTTCGAAAATAGCTGTAGAAATTTTAAACATAAACGGTTCTATGGCCCTGTATTCTCTCATAACAATTATTGGTTATCTATTATTATAAATTCAGTGACACAATTTCATATATATTAGAAATGGCAACATTAAAATTATGATTAACAATACTTATCTCATGAATCAAAATGCCAAGAAGCACTGGTCTCAAAAACCAAAACGATAGACCAGCATGTTATGTTGCAGTAAGCGATATTATTGCTATACTATCTTCTAAAATGCTTAAATACTATTGGTAATAGTATTATTTTAGCAACATAACTGAATTCTCAAATACCTATAATGATCGAGTTATTAAATGCTGAGTTTAATGGCACGAAATTCGATATCGTCTGTAAGACAATAACTCAAATGACATTACACATATGAAAGGTAAGCACATCAAAAAGTACTATAAACAAAATCTGACGGGCTGCAGTAGACTGGAATATTCAATCTGTCTAGGACGTTTTATCTGATCAATCAGTCTCATCTGCATTTTTATAAAAATCTGCAAACCGCTCTATCGGCACAGTCAGCGGTCTTTTCGACCCAGCTAGTCTACTTCAGCCGATGGAAAAATTATCACAAAAATACCAATGTAGCCCCTAGAGCAGGGATGGCGAACCTTTATGCACCAACGTGCCATTTTTTCTAAAAAATTGTTTAATTTGGTCATAGACGTACAGTCAAACAATTTTGACTTCGTGATTATTGGGAAAATAATAACACTAAATACTATTAACTCAAAACTCTTTATTTACTATGAAAAAGAATACATTTCGCAATGTCTCAGTTATACGCGTATTTCAACTTAAAGTAACATCAGTGTGACTTCTGTTGTTGCAGATTAGATGACAAATAAATCACATTAGGTTGTAAGATGTTATTTTAAGCAGGTCTGTTAATTTTTTTTTTGCTAGTTATTTATTGTTAGCTTGTTTTTTATGGTAATTAATTGTTTTTTGGCATTAATTGTAATTTTTTTGTTAATAATTGTTTATTTTTTTATGTTTGTTTTTGTGAATTTTAATTTAATTGGTAAATTGCTTCACAGTGAACTTCGTGATCGGTGGCGTGCCCAAAATATTATGTGGCGTGCCAT